TATAACCTTCTTTGTAGTTATTGGATACTTATAAATAAGGGTTAAAAAAATCACATTTTTTATCATTTTGAATATTATTGATCTATTAAAAAAAATTTATATTTTCCTTAGCCTTAGACACTATAAATATTTTTGAAGTTGAATCATAGGTTGCATGATAAGAAATCGACATAGGCTAAAGATCTACTCAAGAATAATTATAGAGGTGATACACTATTAATAAAATTGGAAGAGAGACAATCGAATATATCATTACGAAAAATAAGTTTAACTTTCAAATAAAAGAATACATCAAAATTTACAAATAGAGCAATTAAGGTTCTATTTGGGACAACTTTATTCCTAATTTGATTTTGATGTCGCCGCTGGATCCTTTAAAAACCTGGAAGAGAAAATCGTAAGCCAAAGCAAGGAATAGAGGAACGGAGATGTATGCTCCTGATTCAGTATATTGATAATAAGTCTTAACACATAGTCTGTCTAGCTTTCTTCCTCCCTCTCCTATATGTAACTTTTTTCTATCTTATTTTAAAAAAAGTATAAAATACTATAAAAGTAAAAAGGCAGCATTAAGCAACTATTGGAGCAGTTAACGAAAAAGGGAAAACAGGTAGTGGAGAGTGTATCTGGCCGTTGGTCCTGGATGAGGTGTTCCGCTGGAGCAGCATAGCGCATCAGTCCTCCCCTAGTTCAGAAGAGCTCGACTCCGACGAGCTGATACGAATGATGCCTTCGTCCGGTGGAGAGTATGGCCAAATGTCAGCGACGTTGAAGGTAGGTGAAGTGTTGCAACCAATCGGCACGGCCACTAAGTATGCATTGTCGTTGATTTTGGTGGTAATGGGGATAGGACCAATCTTACGACGAGAGAGTTTAGAATAGGTGCCCGGCGGAAAACGTTCTCGACGCATTCTGACCATAACAAGGTCGCCCACATTAAACAGACGTTGTCATCGGTGTTTGTCGGCAGCCGCCTTGTATTGCTGATTGGATTTGATAATTTGGCGACGCACTTCAGACAACATATCCGCATAGTCTTCAGCAAAGGTAGCAGCAGATTTGGACTTACATTTAGGCAAAATTGAGAGATCAAGAACGGTATTGGGAGGCTTTGTGTATACAATGCTAAAGGGTGTTTTCCCGGTAGTCCGACTAGTCATAAAATTGTGCGTAAACTCAGCCTTGCTCAATGCTTCTTCCCACTGCCTGGGATGTTCCTGAACCAGACACCGGAGTAAGTTACCCAACGTGTGGTTGACAACCTCCATTTGGCCATCCGATTGTGGATGATAGGCCGAGCTGAGACGAATGTCGGTGTCGAGTCTCTTCCATAATTCTTTCCATAAGTGGCTTATGAATTTCACATCACGATCGGAGGTTAGACTGCGGGGGACGCAGTGTAGGCGAACAATTTGCTCAAAGAAAATATTAGCAATCACCAAGGCATTGGAGGTCTTTCTACAAGCAAGAAAATGAGCCATTTTCGAAAAACAGTCTACGACCACCATAATTGAATCGTTACCTCTCTTGGATCGTGGAAGTCCAAGTACGAAATCAAGGCTGAGGTCCTCCCAAATAGAGTCCGGGACGGGTAGCGGCATATATAAACCTGTATTTTGGGCGCCGCCCTTGAAGCTTTGACAGATTGGGCAGCTGTCAACAATACGGAATACGTCCTGGCGGAGACGCGGCCAGAAGAACCAAACTTGGAGTTGTCGTAATGTGTTATCTCTGCCCACATGAGCTGCCAGTGCACCAGTGTGAGCTTCACGAATCAGATGCTGACGCCAGGAGGATACCAGGACGCATAAAAGGTTATTCTTGAACAAATAGCCATGCCGGATAGAGTATCAAGCACTCTCAGATTGCTCATGGCATTGGCTCCATATCTGACCGAAATCTGGATCGGTGGCGTAAAGGTCTTTAAGGATTTCAAGACCGGTTAGCTCAGTCTGCAAAGTGAGTAGTAAGTTCATCTTTTGACTCAGTGCATCTGCTACTTTGTTGTCGGAGCCTAGTTTGTGCTTAATAGTAAAAGAAAATCGTTGAAGGAACATGAGCCAGCAGGCATGCATGCGGTTTATAGATTTTTGGCTATTAAGATATTGGAGGGCCTTATTGTCGCTGCACAAAATAAAGTCTTGATGGAGTAGGTAGGATTACCACTGTTTCAAAGCACGTACGACTGCGTATAATTCTTGTTCATAGGCAGTCCATTTTTGTCGAGAGGAGCATAATTTCTCGCTGAAGAATGAGATCGGTTTGCCTTCTTGGGAGAGCACCGCACTGACGCCAATTGCGGAGGCATCCGTATCCACCATGAATAGTTTATCAAAATTTGGTAAGGCTAAAACAGGGGCTGTACTGAGGGCGAGCTTAATGGAAGTGAAGCTGTCCTGCTGGTTTTGCATCCAGGTAAAAGTCTTAGCCTTAAGACAATCAGTTATGGGAGCCATAATCATGCTAAATTTTTTGATAAACTTGCGATAGAAGTTAGCAAGACCATGGAAACTACGAACTTCAAAGAAATTCTATGGAATCGGCCAATCTGTGATGGCTGCTACCTTTTTGTCATCCATTTAAATGCCCTGACCGGAGATCACAAAGCCAAGAAAATGAACTGTAGCTACGCCAAATTCACATTTGTTGGTATTGATGATGAGCTGTTGCGTCTGCAAGGTTGTGAATAGAGTGGCGAGGTGCTCCAAATGTTGCGGCCAGGCTGTGCTATATACTAAGATATCGTCAAAATAAACGATACAAAACTTACCCAGAAAAGGTTTTAAAACCTCATTCATCATGCGCATGAATGTGGACAGTGCGTTGTAGAGACCGAATGGCATGACTTGCCACTCAAACAACCCTTGCGGCATTTTGAAAGCCATTTTCCATTCGTCGCCGGGACGAATACAGATTTGGTGGTATCCACTCCGTAAGTCCAATTTAGAAAAGATCGAAGCCCCTGACAACTGATCTAATAACTCGTCAACCCGTGGCACTGGAAAATGATATTTAACTGTTATTTTGTTGATAGCCCTACTATCAACGCACATCCGCCAAGTACCGTCTTTTTTTGGGACTAACAATATAGGAACAGTGCAGGGACTTACACTGGGTTGGATCAGCTGTTTCTCAAGTAATTTGTCCACCATGTCTTGTAGGATACCTTGCTCTTTCGGATTGAGTCGGTAATGAGGTAAATTCGGTAGGTTGGCGCCTGGAACAAAATCAATTCTGTGTTGAATGTTGCGGAGAGGTGGTAGTTCTGCTGGCAGATCACCTTGTGTAATAGTGGGATATCGCTGGAGGAGTTGCTTAATTTCATCTGGCGGGTTGTTGTCCACAACAGACGTAGTCTCTGTTATTAGCAGCGCATAGATAGGTGCTTGCTCTTTCCAGCATTGCAGCAGCTTGGAGCCCGAGACAACATGTAGGGCAATAGAACTAGACGAGCCAGGTAACACACTACTGCTATCATCGGAGCTAGGTAATAGACGTAAGCGACGACCCTTCCACTCGATCGTATATATATTAGCACGACAATCATATTGGGCTCCGGCGTCAAACTGCCAAGGTCTACCCAGAATAAGGTGACAAATGTCCATATCGACGACGTCGCAGACCACCTCGCATGCGTAGTGTTTGCCAATTGAAAAAATGAGGCGACAAGATTCTGTGACTGCGATTTCCACACCTTTTTTAACCCAACTTATCTTGTAAGGGTTTGTTCTCTTTGATGTTTTTAACTGCAGGTTTTGGACAACTGAATGAGAAACAACATTTTCTGTGCATCCACTATCAATGAGCAGCTCACACACTTTTCCCGTGATCATGCATCTGGTTCGAAATAGTGCGTGCCGTTGGGACTTCTGGTTCTGTCAAGGAGCTAATAAGAGCCGTTCTGCCTCTGTTGTTGAATCAATGTCGTCCGACCCGGTGTCGTCCCCTATCTCCTCAAAGTTCGCTTGTTTTCGTTGGGGGTATTCATTGGACTTATGACCCTGTTGAAAACAACAAAAACATTTAATAGTAGACGGCTTAGCATAAGGATTATCTCTACCAGGTGGCTTTATTTTTGGCTGACTGTGGGGCTCTGCCGTGGTGCCTGGAACAATGGCGGGATCGGATTTGAAACTGAGACTTGCGGTGACTTATCCGCCTGAGAGAAATTTTTGTTGTAATTTGATCTAGGCTCTGTCCAGTGTCTCCGATTGTAGGAAGCCTTAGGACGGTTTTGTTGCAACTCTGCTTTCATAGCAAAATTTACTACCTGAGCTAGTGACCAAACCGAATTCAATTCAAGTTTGTCCTGGATGCTTTCCATGAGGCCACCGATATATCGAGCTACCAATTAGTTTGCCGACTCGTTTAGGTTGTTTCTTGCGCTTAGTCGATTGAATTCTTCAGTGTACTCACTGACGGATCGGTTTCCTTGCTCGCAATGTTGATACCGCATATAAAGGATTTGTTCATAGTCAGTGGGTAAGAATTGTGTGCGCAAGAGTAGTCTCATATGGTTCCAATTTCGAATCGGACCCTTACCACCATGTTGTCTCAGCTGTAGAGTTTGAGCCCACCATGCACTAGCTCCCCCCTTCAATCTCCATGTAATCAAAAAAAATTTCAACAGCCTTTTCCCAATCAAGGTAATCCTCAATGTGTAAATGACCATCAAAAAACGGAATATCTAATTTAACTTTGAATTCTTGTTGACAGTACTGCCTCTGCCTATGAGGTTCACGGAATTCTGGATAAAAAGGATTACCGGATTCATCTTCTCCGGACTCCGCTGTCGGAACACCTCTATATAACTGATTCTCATCATCCGACTATGACAATTCTTTCATCATATCAGGTTCGTACTGCCATTGTTTCTCCATTGCCCTTTCCCTTTGTCGCCATGGCCTGTTCGCTGTCACCGGTAATTCAGGTCTGTGAATACGGGGTCGGGGTGGTCTCGCCTTAAGGAGATTGAACTCACGGCAAATTTCCACCGTCAATCAGTGCACGTCGGCGGCGAGATCATCGATTTGATGATTTTTGTTCTCCTGGTTTGCCCATAATGAATCGAGAGTCCGCGATTCTTCGGCTGCAGTTGCTTTGCCGCTATCCTCCATTCTCTTACTGGTTTCGGTAGGCTCTGATACCACTCTGATGTCGCTGCTGGATCCTTCGAAAACCTGGAAGAGAAAATCGCAAGCCAAAGCAAGGAATAGAGGAACGGAGCTGTATGCTCCTGATTCAGTATATTGATAATAAGTCTTAACACATAGTCTGCCTAGCTTTCTTCCTCCCTCTCCTATATGTAACTTTTTTCTATCTTTTAAAAAAAGTATAAAATACTATAAAAGTAAAAAGGCAGCATTAAGCAACTATTGGAGCAGTTAACGAAAAAGGGAAAACATGTAGTGGAGAGCGTATCTGGCCGTTGGTCCTGGTTGAGGTGTTCCGCTGGAGCAGCATAGCGCATCAGATTTTTTACACTGCAATCACAATGTTGTTTGATTATTGCTTCTCGCAACTTTTAACATTGTCGTTACCAGGTCCCAAGTCCTGGATGTGAAATTTGGAGGCATGACATGAATCCTTTAAGAGAAAAAAGGATTCATGTAAATTATAATGGCCCCACATAGTGGGATAAAAGCTTGATGTTATTATTGTTGTTGTCAAAAAGTTATATTCCCCATAGTAATTATATAACTATATTTATAAAAAGTTTTAGCCATCCTGAATAAACCTTATTAATGTGTCATATTATGCGAGTTGGTTGAGGTTTATGTTAGGTCAAATCAAATAAAATTATATTTATGTCTAAGTTGATATGAGGATTAGGTAGAGATCATACCCAAATTTGGAATTTAATAGGGTTAGATTTTAGTGGGATTAATCAGATAGAAAAATTTTAGGATTTGATAAAATGGTGATAATTTTATTAAAAAAAAATGGACAAATAAATACCACTATATTAGATCCATAAATTTTATATTGCTCAAATTAGCAAAAAAAAATTATTGCAGTTCAATTGGTTCTGGTGGTCCATCCAACATGTATCTACCTTTCCTATCTATGAGGATAATATATTGTTGGGACAATTTGAGGGCTAGACTCAGCTTCATTGATAATATAACGTTGCAATTGGTGTATGTATGAAAGCTAAAAAACATAGAATAAAGGCTAAACCTATGAGCATAAATATTCCAGTAAACAGAAACTGCACCAAGAACTCGTCGGTCGTGCTAGTCTCCATTAGGCACATGCTCGTTGCACACGCACGGATGCACCCTCTCGTAGGGACGCATGCACTCGCGGCTTTCATCATCTACTCGCCTACCCCTAGCACTCGCTCACACCACATGCTTGTCTTGCCTCAGTTCATGTGTCAGGGTGTTGACCAGGATTTGGGACGAGTCGGGTCAGGGTTCATATTTGTGACCCTTATGTATATTTGAGTCGGGATCAAGTTGGGTAATCAAGAGCAGGTCAGTTTCTGGTTGAACCCAACCCAAACCCAAACCCAAACCCAACTCAAAAACTCATTTTTAGACAAACTCACACATAATATAAGAAGTCTTAGTTGGTAGCCAAAACATTAAACCAACATACCAAAATAAAATATGTAATATCATATTCAAAATAATACATAAAAAATGCAAAATAAAATGTATTCTAGAGATTAAAATATATGTGTAAATAATACCATATAAGTAAAAGATATAATTAAAAAAAATTTAACATAGAGTTGTAATAAAATATCTTGAATGAAAAAAATGCAGATTCTCAGATAATCAGAAACATTAGCAAAGGCGAACCTAAAACTTCATAAAAAATGTGTAAGGAAATTGTGCGATGGAGTGGCCGAAAAACAGGAGGCAGGAAAACGTACGTGTTGGTGGTGGTAGGTTAAAAGATACCAGAGTGTAATCATTTTTTAATGGATTACGAAGCCGCGGTCAGCGCCTGATGCGGAGTGTTCTTCGCCGGGAAACGCAATTCTGAAACCAACTTTTTCTTTTAAGGCAAATTTATATGTATATTATATGTAAGTTTCGAATCTAAGATGTCTTAATTAGTAATTAAAGTTTTAAATTAATAAAAAATTATTCTGTGCTGAAGTGGAACCTCGTCCGGATGCCTAAGCCCTTAGCTCAGTACCGAGCGTCAGTACGTGGCTCATTCTGATTGGTATCCAGATTTAGAACTGTGTTCGACGTCCACACATAATAATCTCTCCAAGCCAACCAAGTTAAGATTGGATATATTATTGTTGTTTCCAAAATACTTTCGCGACTTTGAATAGAAGCTGGAGATTATGATTTAGTTTGGGAAGATTTTTTTATTGCTTCTTGGAGTAGCTTTCTATTTTTTTTTTATTAAAAAACTGATTTAAAAAACAGTAAAAAAACAATCCCTAATAAAGCTATATATACTATTTTAAAGGATAATTTTCACAGAATTTGATCTCATCGTTGTACTGTACTCTGTTGTATTTTTTTTTTTTTTGAAATTTTTTAATTAATTAAAAATAAATTTACACACATATCACAAGTGTAAATTTTAAATTCAAAATCTCTCAATGGATAGTCAAATCTTCTAACTCACAAATCAATATGAGATACATACAATTGGTGGGTTAACTTGAGCCTTTTTTTTAACCATGTGTAGCTCCTTTTTTTACCATTTATGATCCTTTTTATTAAACTATTTAAAGCTTAAGATTTTTTGTACTATATATTGATGTTTGTTATTCCCCTCTAATTTTGATATATCAAATTTAAAGGCTCTAGAAGTGGTGATTTAAGTCCACCACATAGAGAGCAGTGCTTGCAGCTAATTGAGCTAGCACTCTCCTTGTTCAAATAATTTGGGAGCCATTGTTATTGCCATAAACCTTCATTTAATAAGCTATTATTGGAGATGACTATTATTGGGTGCCAAAAACTTGATGTGGGCATGGGCTTGCATGTGTGTTTTGGCTTTTCTGCACCGGTGAGCAGTGTATGTATATGAATATGAATATGCTTAGGTTTTCTTTTATATGAAATTGCTCATTATATATGAAAGTATACGTGTCAATCAAGTAATAAAGTGATTGAGTGAGTGTAGATCCCAAGAGTAAGTGTTTTGCTAGATTGTAATCAAACCAATTACAATTTTATTTATTACAAATATGTTGTTTATCCTACTGAATGAGATTGAAGGGTTTTGAGTTTCTACCACTTATAGAGAATGCAAAAGATGGTACAAATATATAAAATATGTTTTGGACTAATGCTTGTTAAACAATAATGTTTTTTTTCTCTAATAAAACTCTTAAATACTAACGTGGATCATAGCATATACATCCCTAGATCTTTGTCGACCTTATAAGGTGAAAAGGGAGGTTCATGACCTTCCTAAAATTCTAGTATCTCCATAAAACCTACAAGGTTTAACATCGTATATCTAGACATGCCAATATTCCATTCTGATACTCATATATATTTATTCAAGTATTTCTCCATTGACATAATATATCACACCAAACATTAACTACATATATGACTATTATATGCATTAAATTAAGAATGAGAGATTTGAAAACATATTTAATTTTATTTATAACATAGGAGTCTATGTTAGTACTTACAATGTGCTCATATCATTAGCCCAAAACTCAGAAATTAGTTAGACATGGATAAATTAGAAAGCAAACATATTTTCAATCCACTCATAAAAGAAAAGATATAGGATAAGCAATAAGAAAAAAACTTTACTGGGGTAGTACCATTGACTTCTCCACACTCCTTCCTCCTCAATGTTAAGATTGTTGACATAAGGCATGATAAGATCTCCATTGAAAGTATCTTGCACATTCTTAGCCTCCATTAGACTTTAATCTAAGGGGGCACTAAAGAACTACATTGAAAATTATAGAACTCTATTGAAAGTGACACTACAGGAAAATCACTTATTACCGGCGGAATTTTCCGGCGGCTTTCCGGCGGTCAGTTTTTCGGCGGCTTTCCGGCGGATTTCCGGCGGTTTTTGACGGCTTATTTCCTACAAAATTTTCCGGTGGCTTTCCGACGGATTACCGGCGGCTTTCCGACGGCTAATTTCCCGGCAAAATTTTGCGACGGCTAATTTCCCGCAAAATTTTCCAGCAGACTTTTCCGGCGGCTTTCCGACGGATTACCGGCGGCTTTCCGGCGGCTTTTTAACGTTTCCGGCGGCTTTTAAAAATTTAATAAAAAAATGAATAAAATTTTAAACATTTAAATGATTTAACAAAAAATTATTAAAAGTTAAAATAACTATTAACTCTCCCTGGAAGCCCCCGCCTTATGCTGCTTCCCCTTTTTGGAAATCAATATGCAATACTGCCATTATTGCTAAGCACTGCTTCAAATTTAGAATTGTGAATTCTGCTCCTATTTCCCTTAAATGGGATCACTGGATTGGTGACAGGAACTTATGCGATCTTTTTGGTATTGAAAATATTGCCCCTATTCCTGACATTACAATATCTAATATTATATCTGATTCTGCGTGGGTCTTACCTGACTCTTTCTCTCCCAGCCTTTGTGCTGCTATCTCTGGTATATCTGGGATTGAGGGAGAGGGGCCCTGTCTACTTTGGTATGGCAAGATAAAGAGCAATTTTAAAAACTATCTGAAGGAATTTTATTCGGATATAATGAATTGCAGTTGGTACAACATGGTTTGGCATAAAAGAAATGCTTTGAAATATTTTGTTTTTGCTTGGATGGCAAATGTGGGTGGCCTCAAAACGGCTGATGCGCTTAGACTTAGGCATATTTTTGTTCTGTCTCTTTGTTGTCTCTGTCATTCATCTGATGAAACGGTTTCTCACCTTTACTTTGAATGCAACTACTCTTTCTCTATTCTCTCGGGTTTAATTTCTGGGTTGAGTACTTTTCTGTTAAAGCCCAACATCTTTCAGGTTTATGATTGGATTACTGGGCAATTTAACGGTAAGATGGAGACTTTAAATTTTTATAAATTGGCTGTCTCTGCTGTGATTTATTTTGTCTGGAAGAAGAGGAACAGTAGAAAATTTGATAAACACATCCAATGCCATGCCTCTTTATTATTGTTTATAAAGAGAGTTTTGTCGGAGAAAATTCTGAAATGGAGATACGCTATGGATTTATTAGAAAGGCTGTAACTGGCTTCTACT